TATAGATGAAGAGGCCTGAAGGAGACAGGACAGCTGCACACTGCATAGCGCTGCTTGGGCCTGGATCAGAGGAGGAGAGCCATAGAGGATGTTAATGGGACAGCTGAGAAGAACTGAGGGTCACTGTGGGTTCCATCATGCCCTGTGCCACTCTCGAGCTGCCTGCATTTGGCCGCTGCACCAAGGCCACCTATGAGATTATTTCTGTTCTTCCAAAACTCCTAATGAGACATGTAGGACTGAGGGCAGGGTGCCTCCTATTAATTTCAAAGTGTTCTGCAAAAGCATAATATACATAAAGAAAATGCAGTAAAATATTCATAATTGATAATCTAGGAGGAGAATATATAGAAATTCTTGGTAGTAATCTTGCTACTTTGGTAGATTTAAAATTATTCAAGAGTAAGTTAAATTTGTCTGCGTGAGTAGATAGGGAGAAGAAAATGTGACCTGGATGAAATGCTTGCTTTTAGCCAATTGAGCTTGAGTCTGCCTTTTAACACATTAGTCAGAAACTCAGGAAGAAGTCAATCCCTTAATCCCTATCAGTCAATCTTATTTTCACTCCCAATAGTTACTCTTCACCACTTTGGCTAAGGCACACAGGTACACATGCATGTGCGTGCATACACACACATACATACATACACACACACACACACCCCTCCCATCTGCAGCAGGCCCAATTAGTTTTTATTAAACATTTACTACAGGCTGAGGAAAAGACCCAGAAAGCACACAATGGAGCAGAGCTCGCTCCTGGGCCTGGCTTTTCTGAGGGTCAGTAGCCAGAGGCTAGTGTTTGGTCTTAGTTTTCAAAGTCCAGAAGGTACAGCTCACTGGCATAGTGCCTGCCTAGCAAGTGTGAGGTCCTGTGTTCGATTCCTGGTACCACAAAAAGAATTACTGGAATGCAGAGGGGCTCTCCGTAGAGCTTGTCTTTAGGTCCATCTCACAAAAGTAGCCACAGCTGCAGCTGTCACCCCAACCCCACAAGGACCCTGCTCTCAGTGCACCCGTGGGCGTTGTTATTCACTCAGAACCACCCGGCATGGAGGACCTTCATTTTCTTGTGACACCTGTGGAATGTGACCTGGCCGTCTTTGGCAACTGCCAGGTGACTCTGTCCATACCGCACCTAGAGCTCAAGTGCATCTTGATGTGTACAGAGGTGACTGCCAGCAGGATATTAGGCTCCCAGTCATAATCAAACTGTGGGAAACACTCCTAGGAGCAGATTTTTGCCTCACAAAGTGTGGCCTAATGCCCTGAGGAGCAGGTCCCCGGGCAGCTGGAAACCCGGGCACGTGGGAGAAAGTGCCTGGGAAAAGGTCACACTCGTGAATTGTGCGTGTGCCGGGAGAGTGCTCACACATAATTTCTGGGGCTGTGGAAGAAGACAAGAATCCTGACAAAAGGAAACAGATGCTGGTGTTCAAACACAAAAGCCCTGAGTGGCGAGAGCTGGAAGGTGTGGCAGGAGGGCGGCAAGGCTGCAGGGTGATCCAAGACCCTGGGTGAGGAGCGGAGGGGCCTTCCTCCTGCGAGCAGACTCCTGACTGCGCTTCTGTGTTTCTGTGTTACTCTGGCGAGAGAGAGACACGGGCAGACAGACAGACAGAGAGAGGGAGGTGGAGGTGGAGGCCAGAGCTCACGCTGTTAGCCAATGATGCCAGGATTCTAATAGCTTATAAGAAGTGGCCCAGCCGGGCAGAAACTGCCCCCAGGCAGCACACTTCTGCAGTGCTGCTGGCGCTCTCGGGGGGCCTGTATGCGTGAGGGCTGCGCATGGCCCTGTCTTGCACTCCTGTGCCTGCCAAGGGTGGAATCAGATTTGTCTCTTCTAAAACTCGCATTGGAATTTAGATCCCTACCCAGAAGTAGGGAGGCCCCTGTGGAGGATCAGGTCACGGGTACTACCTCACAAGTGAGTTAAGGTCCTTCTTGGGAGGCTGTTTGCTCAAGACTGGATTAGGTACCTTGAAGTGGGGTTGTCAGAGAGCCAGACCTCCTCTCCCTTGTGGGCACATGCGTGCTCCTCCTTTGTTCCCACTGGCTTGTCTGAAATTCCACTAATATGTGATCACCCTATGCTGAATTTTTCAGCTTCTAAACTGTGAGCCCAAATGAACTTTTTTTTAAAATAAATTACAGTGCCTTGGGTATCTTGTTATAGACACAGAAAACAGACAAAGACAGTGCCTATGCCCTGGTATCACTGTGCTTTGCGTCTGATGGTCAGCCACTAAGTGTCAAAGGCCCTTAGGTGACAGGAGCCAGTCTGCCTTCCCCTCCAGAATTCCTCAACTGTCTGGGAATTGCATTCCCTTGGCAGCAGCCCCAAGCGAAAACTGACTGGTAAAGAGGCCTGACAGTCTGGGTTGGGCCCTTTGACCCAGGACACACTAAGGAGGTAATATTTTTACTCCAAACTCCTCAGCAGCGTGGAGCTGGAGCTTCCCTTTGCAGCTGGGCTTGGGAGCTGCTCTTTTTCAGTTGTGCTATACCCACCTTCCTCTGTCACTCACTCACAGGAGTGAGACTGCCTTCCTCTGTCACTTACTCACAGGTCTTGGCCTCAGGGCCTGATTCTGCGGAGGAGCCTGACCTGAGATGCCCCTACCACAGTCCTAGAGCTGAAGCCAGGAAGAAAGAGAGGACATTAATCTCTCCGAACTTGGCTTGGTTGGAAAGAATCCTTGGAATTCACTTGTGAGAGGGAGCCTTCCCACTCGAAGGTGGAAGGCAGTGCTGCTGAGAATGCCCGTCTACGTCCCTGTGGGCGCTCTCTCTTGCTTTCTGGTCAACATTGCGAAGCAGGGACCTGAGAAGAACTGCCTGCGACAGTGGTGCTGAATGTGTGCCTCAGCTGCAGGAGGAAGGGAGCAGAGCGGGCGTGGCCTCCGCCCTCCTCTCATAGTGAGGAGAAGTGCCTCTTGCGAGGATGGCAGCCTCCTCCGCTTACGCTTGCAGCAGTCGCTGCTGCCTAGCCAGAAGCACCAGGTGCCTGCCAGGCCCTCCGCAGAGCCCTAGGAACGCTAAGGGACCCCCCCTGGGGCCAAGGTGCCCTGCAAGGTGGAGGTGCTGAGGGCAGGGCAGTCCCGACCCCTCTCCCCTGGTGTTCTGTGGGAGACTCTCTGGGCTGGTGCTTGCCAAGCACAGCTGGCCAGCTGTTCCAGGCCCTGATCTGTCTTTCTTCTGTGAGTCTGGCAGTTCAGGGACCTTCAGTTCAGAAGCCAGCCGCTTGCACACTCACCACCTGTCAACTGCACCTTTTAAAGCCTCTATGCTTTGCACATCATGAGTTTAAGGATAAGCTCATCCAGCTCATGATGTAGTGAATGTACAAAGGATGTGGCTGAGCTGGTTCTTCAGCAGGGAACAGTCACCAAATTTATAAATCACCCTTCGGGGTTGAGGCCAGTTTCCAAGGATAGGTGCAAGCCTACTGCAGCGGATGTGTGTAATCCGATTTGTCCAGCTCGGAGGAACTCTGGGGCTGGGGGTCCACAGAAGGAGAAGAGCCTGCTGACCTCTGACAGGCTGTGTGTGTGTGTGTGTGTGTGTGTGTGTGTGTGTGTGTGTACCAGGGATTGAACTCAGGACCTTGAGCTTGCCAGGCAAGTGCTTATTCTACTGAGCTATCTCCCCGGCCCCTCTGACAAACTTCTTGGAGAACAGGGGCTTAGGACTCGGGTCCTGACAGCCACAGGAGGAGGCCAACTCCAGACCTGCTCAGCATCAAAGACAAAGTGCTGGGGCAGATGGGGTCTGCCTCAGTGGGGCAGGCAGGGCGAGGAGGCGACCTTCTCCAGAGCTCGGAGGAGGGGCGCTGGGGTGGCGCCTTAGCATGTCAGGGCAGCACAAGCCCATCCACGTAGAGCTCTCTGAAAATTAACAGCTACTGCAAAGTGTTCAGCAGACAGGGAGGGAAGCCCTGATGGTAGCGCATGCCACGTGTGCAGAGGAGCAGCTGGCCCAGGAAGGGAGCGTGTCAGGGGTCAGTCACACCCACGCACAACTATGCACACTTCAGATGTTGATATTATTCTTACTTAGGAGTGAACAATAATGTAATATGATAATGTAGTCCAGAATATGTTGTGTAATATACCAACATATTAAATGTAGTTATGTTATGTTGCCCAGTAATTTCTTATTAGTAATGTTAAAGGTTATCAAACTTGGTATATTAAGCTATCATATATTAGTAGTACACATAGGGGTATATTATGATAGTGATATACGTAATTATTATTGTACTGTGGTCTGTGCAAAGCAAGGGTGGGCCAGGGCCTCTGCCAGGGAAGCCCCCCCCCCAGGAAGCCTGGGCTCCTCGAATGAGGAGCAGCAGGTCGGTGAGGGTCCCAGGGAGACTGAGAGCGGGTGTACATGGAAAGACAGCCGCTGTGGTCAGGGCAGGGAGCTACCGCGTGACCGGATAGAGCCTGCTGGCCATGGGCTGGGTCAACTGACGAGGCTGTTCTCAGCGATGGAGACAGACATGGCCAAGGTCCCAGGACCAAGTTCCAATGTGCCCAGCACATGGGGACAGGGCAGGACGCAGAGGCCATACAGAGCCGCCACGCAGGTGACTCCAACCGCAGTGACCCCTGGGTAAGAAGGGGGATGAGGATATTTCTTTGGGTCAATGAACCCTGTTTTAGAGGTGGGACAGGTGGCTGTGGAGAGGAGGGCAGGTGTCTGCCATGGCAGGAGATGAAAGTGCCAGGTGTTGATGACACTAGCTTCTGGGCATGCGGGCAGGAAGAAGGCATTGTTCCTGCGGAGGGCGAGGTCTTGGGGAAAGGCTGGCTTTTTAAAAATGTATTTTGTTGTTGTAGGGTCTTACCACACAGCTTGGACTCATAGTGATTCCTCTGTTTTCAGCCTCCCCAGCGCTGGGAATACAGGCATATGCCACTGCAAGTTCCCTGTGCTTGCCTAAGCTTGCCGAAGCAGGCACTTTGGTCCGCTGAGCTATCTCGCTGGCCCCTGCTTATATTTTAACACAGATAGCATTAGCATTTGAAAATAAGCTAAACTTGCTGTCCTGGTATAAGATTCAGGATTTATAAATTCAGCTGGACTTAGGAAAATAGGTTGAGAATTCGTCACTGATGCCCTGTCACTAGATAAATCATTGGCCGGCTTGCTTGTTGGTAACTGACCAGATCATGCTCCTAAGTGTGCAAGTGTCCCTCCCTTGCCCTCACAGGTGTGCAAGCCACTGAGCACACACGGGCAGCGTGCACCCCCAGAGATGTGCTGCACCGCTGGGCTGATCGGCCTTCTGAGAATCCAATCAGGACGGCTGGATTCTTTTGATTTTAGTCTTGAAGACCCTACCTTGGAATCTCCTCTTTTTCTCTAATTTTGCTTTCTACCTAAGGTCTCTTGAAGACAGCCCATCCATGTTCTGCAAGCCTTGAGGCCCCCGTCCTATGGCAGCATGATGGACCGTGCTTTCTCCTGGAGTTTGTGGGACAGCATTTTCTGACACCTCAAGCTTCACATGGATTGAGCAGGTTGTGCTACAGCTTCCCAGCACCCGGCAGACTGCCCGCACCCAGATGCCACCCCCAACCCATCCTCCTGCCTGCTACTCACTGGTTTCCTCTGCTCCTTGCTGCCACCACCCCTACCTTTCACTGCCCCCCACGGCAGCGGCCTAACAGGTGCTGAGCAAGCGCTGACATCCTGCAGAGAGTTCCAGAAGTGTAGAACCAGAGGGCTCCCTGTGAGACCATTTTTCTCTGTCTGCATCACTGAGCTGTACTCGAGAGGCTTTGGGAGAGCCCCATCCCTTAGCTCTGAGGGAACTTTCCAGTGGGAAACCCTGCCCTGGTTTCTCCTGCACCTCCCCTGCCTTGCCCGAGCCTGGCTGTGCTGCCACGCTCCCTCACCCCCGCATGACAAGCTCCCCGGCACAGGGCCCACACAGAGCCATAGAACAGGCAAGTTCAGTTGGCACAGCAACGGGTCATACTGTATGGAGGTGAGGAAAGAACTGTGGGCTGGGACCCAGCTGAGGTCAGCAGAGCCAGAGCCCATTTCCAGGGTCCAGCTCCAGAGTCTGCCTCCTCCTCAGAGACGGCATTGAAGGCAGAGACCTCTGGCTTCCGTCTGTTAGCCAGCCTTCAGTCACATAACGAGTACACCCCCGAGGTCATTGCTGACGAGGAGTGAAGGCTGGGTTGATTCCCAGGTTTGGAGGTTTTAATTCAGGATCAGTCAGCCCTGGTCCTCTGAGCGTTTGGCGGGGTAGCACACAGGCGGGATGTGGGGGAGCCTGCAGCGAAGGGCTGGGAGGCGAAGGACAGGAATGGGGGGTCCGGGCTGCCCTTCAAGGACATGTCCCAGTAGCCTTGCTTCTCTGCTGGGCTGCATCTCCGAGAGCATCAGCAGCGCCTCTGACACAGGGGCCTCAGGGACCAATCGTAAACCTTCATCGCTTGTCAGACAGGAAAGATTCGGAATGAGTGTTTTCTGCTCTCTATTCTTCTTAGGTTACAGACTTAGGTAATCAAGTGAGACCTGGCCTTGAGGACCCCGTCCGTCCTGGGTGGCAGCCACTTTAGTGCACTTGCTGCCTCTAGACCTGGCTCTGCAGTATCTTCTTGACACTGTGAGGAACCGTGCCAACCTGTGCCCCTTTGGGCCTGCAGGCCCCCAACCCCTCACCATGGCCACCAGTGTGACAGGGCAGGGGGACCCAAATGGCATTCAGAGATGAAGCAAAAGGAGATGGACTGAGCTGGAACTGGAGAGCCCACAGCGTCCCCTTCTTGGCCACAGGGAGCGTGTGGCTGGCGACAGGCGCCACAGATGAGTCAGCAGAGGATGGTAAACAGGGCCTTGGCAGTCAGAATCCAGGACAGAGAAGAATATTGATTGCACAGGGTTGCAAGGAGGGCTGGGGGCAGGGAGAGATACGTGTGCCCCATGGGCACGGGGACAGAGGTGAGCGGGGCTTTGGCTCTGACTGCCGCCCACTGTTCTTTCTCTCCCAAAGCTGAGTCACTGCCAATCCCATCCAAATAGGCTGGAGGTGAGCCGGGACGGGAAGGGAGGCCTGGGAGGTGTCAGGCCGATGACGAGCTGTCAGCAGCCGCACTGGTTTATTTCCGAGCAGGACTGTGTTCATCAGTCGCCACACTGACCCCTGGAGGGGTGGGCTGAGCCCAGGGAGCTGACAGACGCAGACAGCACAGTCCCATTGGGCAAGTATGAAACTGCCACCGAGAATGTGACTTTCCAGGGGAAGCACTTTCCAGGCAGGAGAGCATTCCTGCTGCTGCTCTGCACAGGGCAAGCTCATCTGAGGCCGACTCTGCCCTCTCCCCCTTGGCTATGTCTGGAACTAATCTCCAGAGCTAGATGGTGAGTGCGAAAGAGGAATGCAAAATGCATCCTTGAATCCTGAGCACCAGGTGCAGGCTCCAGCCAGCAGCTCCCGGCATGTCCTCACTGCTCTTGTTCTGCGTTATCCGGTGCACACTGCCCAATTAGCAGCCCCGTAATCCAATTTAGCAAACATGTAGGAAGTAGCAGCTCTGCCCCCAGCCTGCTGCCAGCTGCTGCCGTGCCCAGTGTGACCAGCTCTAGGCCACTTAGAATATCTATTCTTTGTCTCTTTCAGCTTTCTGATGATTTCTATGGTGGCCAGGAAGAGGTCTGTATTACAGTTGCTTAACTGAGCAAGCTTGTGGGTAGTCATTAAGAGGAGAAGTCCTTGCATTTCCATTGCACCTGTTTTTTTGAAAGAGCAAAAATTAAATAGAAGTTGTGAAGCCTTAAAGAAATATTTCTTTGCCACAGAGATTATTTACAGAGTAGAGCTAACATTAATAGATTGGCATTTTATGCACGCGTGAGCACAGACATGCATCTGCTCTGTCTCACGCGTAGAGTATCCACTGTCTCCTTCCCAAGCGAGCCCGGGCACTGGCATTCTTGTCCTGTCTCCACTTCCCTTCCTCTTCCTCTCTAATTCTTGCAAATTCTTTTTATGGGTTGAATGAGTCCCAGGGAAGGTCATGTTCAAGTCCTGACCTCTGGGTGTCTGTGAATGTGGCTTACTCAGAAAAAGCATCTTTGCAGAAGTGGCGAGGGTAGGAAGGGTGGACCCTAACCTGTGACCATCGTCTGCGTGGAAAGCAGGAGATGGGCACAGACAAGAGGGGAAAGGAAATCAGAGGAAGACAGATCCGGAACCTAAAACGAAATCAAGTGCAGTTCTTCAAAGCCTCTCTGTGCCTGGCACTTGTTTCAGGCAATCGTATGAATAAATAGGATAATGTTTGCATTGTTTCGGTTTACACTGTCCGCGGTCTGACCGGCGACCCTGGTGCCTGTCGGGGTGCGGGGTGCGCCGGACTCTCGGGAGGCTCCTTGCACCTCGCCTGCTTCTTCAGGTCTGTGCCATAGCTGCTCTTCTTCGCCCTCCCCTTCCTCCGCTGAGCTCTGGGCAACTCCCTCCTCTCCTCTCTCCCTCCTGGCTGCCCTTTCTTGCCGCTGCTCAGTTCTTCTCATGCCTCTGCTGGAGGAGCTGCTCCAGACGTCCTGCTGGTTCTCAGGGGACAGGGAGACCCGCCATCCCCTTCTTCTGCTGCCACGGAGCTGTCTTCCTCCACGAGCAGCCTGGAGCGCGTTTCCTCTTCTCTTGTCTGAGACAACTGCACTGGCAGAGGGAAGGCGTTTAGCCGATGTGATCTGCTATCTGGCTGGACCTTCTGGACTTCCTTTCAGAAAAGGATTTCTTATTGAATAGCCAGTACCAGGACCCCTGTCCCAGCGGAAGGGCCCGGCCCATCCCACGGGAAGGTATCCGTCGGCTCCCCAAGGCCGGGTCAATCCAGGGAACCTCTTTGTGCGCATCAACCTGTGACCGATTCCCTCTCACAGCTGACTCCAGCGCTGTTTGGGTCAGAGGAGGAAGAGAGGGAAGGGAAGGAGAAGGGGAAGGGGAAGGGAAGGGAGGAGAGGGGGAGGGGCGGAGGAAGAGAAAGGGAGGAGGGGAGGAGGAGGGAGGGGGAGGGGAAGAGGATATCCGGAGGAGGAAGGGGAAGAGAGGAGAGGGGAGGGGAGGGGAGGGGGAGGGGAAGGAGAGGCTGGAGCTCTTCCAGAACCAACCAGTGTGGCTGCTGGGGCTGGGGGGCCAGTGGTTTAAGACCCAGCTGTGTCTGGCTCCACAATCCCAGGTTTCTTCTCTTAGATTGTGGATTGAAACCATTTTTTTGGTTGCCACAGTCGTTTTCTCTTTTTTTCTTCTTGCCTGTTTAAATCTTTTTTTTTTTTTTTTTTTTTCCAAATACTGGTTAAAAATTCTGTGAATCTTAACTCAGAAGCTTGCTATTAAGCAGTAAGCGAATGTGAAGTTTATTTGGAACATAACAGACACGAACATCGCCTGGAAGGATGGATGAATGAATATGCTGTGACTCAGACTTCTAATTCCATATGGCTGTCACAGGGAGGCATGAGGAAAGGACAGCACGGATGGCTTGTCAGGTGGCTTTGTGTCCAGATTCTCCAGGGAAACAGAGCTAGCAGGATACATACAGATATGTGGAGGGATTCAGCAGGCCTTAGCGAGGCAGAGGGGTTGCCCACAGTCTGCCTTCCGTGAGATGGGGGCCCAGGAAGGTTGGTGGGGTCCCGGGTAACCCGAGATTCGCTGTGAGAGGTGATGGTACAGATTCTACTCTGGGTCCTGGGGCAGGAGAAGTGAGCCCCAGCTGCACCAGTCAGACAGCACGTGAAAATGCCTCCTCCTTCTGCCTCCATATTTCATCCGGGACCTTGACTGACTAGAAAGTGTTCAGCCATGTGCTGAGGGTAAACAGCTTCCCCTGGTCCAGCAATTCAAAGGTTGATTGCTTCTTGTTCAGACCCCCAGAATAAGCTTTAACAGTACCCATGCATCTGCCCTTTAGCCCAATAAAGAGACACAAGGTTAACCAGCGCAGTGAGTAGTTGACATTTTAGAGAAGAGTTTAGATCCTGGAGTCAGGCAGGTTTAAACTTTGGCTCTGCTATTTACATATTGTGTGACCTGAATTAAAGTCATTGAACTTCTTTGTGTCATAGTGTTTTTTGTTTTTTGTTTTTTTTTGGCAGTCCTGGGTATCAAACTTGTGATCTTGTGCTTGCCAGGTAGGCACTTACGCCACTGAGCCATATTCCTGGCCCAGTTTTCTTTTGTGTGAGATGGAAATGAAGCCAACTATCAAAGGACTAACTGTAAGAAAGAAAGGTACCAGTGATGTCGTGAGCTTCAGGACTAGGATTTTAGGTTGCTTCAGCTGGAGCTATCTCGGAAACAATCCTGTTCCACTACCAGCAACGAGCTGCTTGCCGTGGAGATCCATCCTGAGAAAGTGGATTTTGTCAGGGCGTGAGCACCCTCAGTGACACTCGTCCCGCCTGGGAGGTCCAGGCCGGTCATGCCCAGGGCCTCTCTGCAATCCAGAGACTTGGCACGTGAGGGCTCAATGTCACAGGGCGGACTCCTTCCCAGTGAATGTGCTTAACAAGTAGGAGGACGTTCTAAGCTAATGGTAATGACATACTCCAGTAACTAGTCATTCATGATATGATTTAGATTTAAAAAGAAAGTCTCCTAAAAGGCTCATGAGCTCAGAGGTGGGGCTTTTGGAAGGTGACTGATGATGGGGCATGAGCCTCATGGTGGATTCATCTGAGGATGTCACCGGTGAATGTGATGTCAGAAGGGGGGCTAGCTGGAGGGAGTTAGTCACTGGGGGTGGGCCTTGAAGGGTGTACCTGTCCCCAGGTGGTCTCTACTCTGCTTCCTAAACACTGTGACATGGGCAGCTTTATCCTTTGTACGAGGATATTTTTTTGTTCCTTAGCACTGGGAAACTACAGACTGGGACCTCTGAATCCATGAGCCAGCAGAACCCTCTCCTACTTCAATCCAAGTATGTCCCGTATCTTGTCCCATCAGTGGAAAGCTGATGGATGCAGTCACCACTGTGAAGCACTGTGTTCTCTACATAGTTGTGCGTGCGGTTGTTACATGGCTGATGGCGCAGGAGGTCTGTCTGCACCAGCATCACCGCACACCAGTGAGCAGTGCGCTACACTGTGACATCACAAGGGCTGCGGTGTCACCAGGCAATGGGAAATTTCCAGCTGTATGGTAACCTCATGGAGCACCATGGTGAAGGTGTCTGTGGTTGGCCAAATTGCCCTTATGTGGTCCATGGCTGATGAAGCGGAAGCTAGGAAATCTCAGCCTGCCTCAAAGGAGAGGGCAGAAAAATGAGCTTTGTGAAGCACGCCCAGAGTAGAAATATAGGATATACGGTCCGATCAAACTGTAGATAGTGGCAGGGCTGGTGGATGACACTCGGGCAGTGTCGGAACAGGCTCTGACTGCAGCTCGGCTTTCACCTCCTCCCTCAGATTATTCCACGTAGGTGAACTGCTTCATTCATTCCAGTGGGGCAGTCTTCGTAGTCCTCCATTTATTCATTACTTTTATCCTTTCATCTTTTCAAATGTGCCCTTGAGGGGGGTTGGGGGATGGGGATGAAAAATCCAGTTAGGCGAGTATGATGGGAGCCCTGCCCCCACCAATACTCACTGTGATTTATTCCTTGCTGACCAAGTTTGGAGCCCCGAGCTCTCTGTGAGCTGTCTCTACACTCCTCACACAACCTTGTGATGCAGTGTAATGGTGTTCTTACTCCTGTTTGAGACTATCTGGGGGTAACTGAGGCACAGCCGTGGCTTACTGCTTACCAAGAGCCACTGACAGCTGAGCAACCCAACTTAGCCTTGGTAAGAATCACTTGGACTCACGGAGTCCTGAGGTCGGCACTTCCCACTGCAGGCTGCACAGCCTTTCACGGCCTCATCAAAGGTTGATTGAAGTTAGGAGCAGGGCTTGCCAGGCTGCGAGCGGATCACTCAGCATCGCCGCCTGAGTGCCTGTGGAGCTGAGATGTGATCTGGTGCCCAGGATGGTGGCTACTCTTGTCTTTTCCAAGGGAGTAGGTTCGACTTAACACCCACGTCCTCGCCCTAGGTCACCGCTTCCCTCGGGCAGCAGAGGGACTGAAGGATGCAGCAGCTTCGCAGTGCCCGCTGAAGTGTGGCGCCAGGGAGGGTGGGCCGGCGGGGTGCTTCTCCCAGCTCCTGCGAATGCACGAGGAGCCCAACAGGTATAATGTGTATCCAACGTGGATCCCTTCATTCATATTCAGAGGATAATGGTTCGATAGCGCTTAACATAGTCCAAATATATTTCAAAGGCAATTCTGAAAGGAGATTGTTTTAACCAGGGAAATCAGATAAACGAACAATGGCTGCTATTAAGGCTGAACGTTACAGAGGTTTATCCTGCAGTCACACCGGAGTCCAGAGGGTCAAGGGTGACTCTGCCAACAGTGGCTTAGGCTTGATGGCTTCTGTCAGCAATGCCAGACGGAGTTCACTTTTGTAGTCACATGCAGGTGCCCAAAGCTGGAACTTCAGTTGAAACTGCAGCAATTCCACCCCACTTTCCTTACTTGCGATCTCACTTTCTGAGGTTTTAGTCTCCTGGAGTCAACCCTCTTCCTACAACTTTAGATAAAAAATTCTAGAAACAAGTAGTAAGTTTCAAACCTTGTACTGTTCTGAGCATCAGGACATTTTATGCTCTCCTGGTCCACCCAGCCTGGGTAGTTCATCAATTTTTTTGTCTAGATATCTGCATTCTGGACACTAGCGACCGTCAGTCACTCAGCAGTTGCTATGGCTTAGATCTAAACGCCCCCCACGCCCGCGCCCGCAAAGTTTCAGGTGTTAGGAGGGTGATTGGGTGGGGGGGGCTATACCCATCGATAGATGTCTTCATTGATGAGATCGCAGCTACAGGTGCAGTCAGGATGACGACTGGTTGGGGGTCGGCGGGCACAGCCCCAGCAGCGATCCTTGCCCGTTCTTGTTTCCAGCTTGCCCCTCTCTGCTTCCTGGCTGCCGTGGCTTGTGTGCCCCCAGCTCTGCCATGCCCCTTTGCCATTCTGCTTCAGTCTTGGCACCATGGGCTGGTGCTTAGCCACAATAAATCTCACCTCTTTAAGTTGTGGGTAGCAGGTATTTTGGTCGCAGGGATGGAAAAGAAAGTGAGTAATCAATCATCTTGGTAGTCAGATTGGCTGTCGTGGTATTGCCATGCTTGCGCTAACTGACCCTTACGCAGCAGCCCCATGTGACACCACAATGCTGGCAGATACACATCATTCTCCTCCTTTATCTCTTTGTGCAGGTATTACAGCATCTTCTATTGTGAGTCCAGTACAATGAGAGGGATTATACATGTAAATTATATGCAGATGACATATCATTGTGTACAGGGACCTATATGCATGCTCAGGTTTTGGTATACTTGGGGTTCTGGACCTCATCTCCCCACTTTGAGGGATTATTACCACTGGACTGTGTGGTAGGAGAGGAGGGGCCGCTGGCAAGCCAGCCACTAGGTGCCCAATGCAGATAACCTTATCTGATTGTGGTAAGCACTTGGGCTGTCCTGTGCCCCAAAGAGACCCTGCTCTTCACAGGGGTAATGTCCATAGTTTGGGCTCCCTCCCAGGCAGGGCCTGAGCTGGACTTTGGAAGTGGTCCCAGGATGCACAAGGCAGGGACAAGGAGGTCAGCTCAGGGAACCAGGAACTTCTCGTGCTGGTAGACGAGAGGCTCACAGAACAGGCCCAGAACTGTGTGCTTGAGCAAGAGCAGCACCTGTGCTGTGGCCTCCTGGGGCAGAGGGCAAGACCGACTGTGTCCTCCCGAGCTCTAGTTACGCAGCTGAGGCAGGGCAGGCAGGAGCCACGGCACCAGGTGCACCAACTCACTGGGAAACCTTGAAGTCCAGGGCTCTGACTCGGAGACCTGGTCCCCAGCCTGCTGCCCTCTCCAACTGGCCCTGGGAGTTGTGCTTTCGCTGAGCTGTTAAGAGTTGGCCTTTGCTTGTCCTTGCTGGCCCACTGCCCCCAACCAGTCACTTTGTTCCAAACACAGTGAGCATCACTGACCTCTGCGTCCCCATCACAACACAGTTCATCCTGAGACCATCCGTCAGCATAAAGGGTGGGTTCCGTGCTCACCTACAGCACTGTTCGTAATCACCTGGCTCCGCAAATGTCAGGCGCCGGACCCCTGCCGGTGAGCTCGCTCTGGGGGCAGCGACAGAATGCGGCGCAATGTGGTGGCCTCCGGAAGACATGCAGGAGCACAAAGGAGCTGCACTGCCCTGGTGAATCAGAGAAGGAAGGAGGCATGAAGAGAACATTTTTGCTGGCTCTTGAAAGCTAAGAATTTTCCAGCAGGGTGAGGAGGGCATGGCCTTCCCGGCAGGGTAGGAATTATGGAATAAATGTTAGACGTGCGGCACCGTGCTTCCTCACGTGTCTGAGAGTGGAAGACCGGGTAACGGGCAGCTGTGAGGTATCAGAGAGCGCCGTGCAGCCCGCTTAGGGGTGGCCCCAGGATGCTACCGGCAGGGCTCCTGCTGGCTGACTTAGCTGTCACTGCGGACAAGGTTACACTAAAGGAAACGCTTAGTTTAAGCACATGGGAAGCCTTGCCCTCCTGAAGGATAAAAGCGGCATCAGTCTCCGCTCCGATGAGATTTGAAAGCACAGGATTCCGCCTGCCTTTCTGCTTTCTTCTCAGCACAAGGCAGGGAGTGTCACCCTCCCCACCCCTTTCCGTGGGAGCACAAAAGGCTTTTGATTCCGCATCCCTCAATAGGATTGCAACAGCCCTGCCTGCTGGCCTTCTGTGATTCGCTGGC